AGGGGGGTAGGAAAGATGGTGGAATGAGATGGACATCATTAAAAAAAGAAAGAAAGAAAGAAAACATATGACCCTTGGCCTTCTGGTTTGGCTTATTTTGCTTAACATAATGATCTCTAGTTCCATTCATTTTCCTGCAAATGACATAATTTCATTTTTCTTTATGGCTAAATAAAACTCCATTGTGTATATACACCACATTTTCTTTGTCCATTCATCCACTGTGGACATCTAGGCTGGTTCCATAGTTTGGCTATTGTGAATTGTGCTGCGATAAACATGGGTGTGCATGTATCACTGTAGTATGACTTTAAGTCTTTAGAATAAATACCAAGGAGTGGTATAGCTGGGTCATAGGGTGGTTCCATGTCTAATCTTTTAAGGAATTCCTGAGACTCTCCCCTCTACCTTTTTTTTTTTTTTGAGTCAGGGTCTCACTATGTTGCTTTTTCTGGTCTCAAACTCCTAGGCTCAAGCAATCCTCCTGCCTCAGCCTCCCAAGTAGCTGAGACAACAGGTGCATGCCACCTTGCGCAGCATTTTTTTTTCCTAATGGAAAATTTCAAACATTTATAAAAGTTGAGAAAACAGTACACTAAAGCCTTTTGTGTCCATCAAGGTTCAAAAAGGAAGCCAGAGCTCCATCCCCTTTCCTGCTCCCTCAGGTAATTTTAAGTGAATAGAATGTAGGCCCTTCAGTGTGCATTTCCAAGGACTCCCTCTTCAAAGTAATTGCCTCACTTCCATCAATCACACTCCCCAAAACAAGTCCTCAGTAGCATCAGATATCTTGTTTGTGTGCACCATTCACCAAATATCCAATAATTACCCTTTTAAAAATGTTCTGTCTGACTCAGGATCCAAATGATGTTGATACATAGCTATTGCTTCATATCTCTCTTAATTGTTTTTTCATTTACAATTTGCCCACCACATCTTTTTCTTGCAATTTTTCTGTTGAAGAAACTAGATAGTTTAGCCTACATAATTTCTCACAATCTGGATTTTATTCATTACATCTGTGGTTGCTTTAGCATGATACTCTGTCCCTCCTATTTCCTGTACATGGTAATGAGATCTGGAGGCTCCATCGGGTTCAAGTTCCACTTTTTGGTGACACTTCGTGGTGGCACTGGAAGTACCATAGGGTTGAGCCTTTTTATTATGATAGAAACCACTAATGATCATTGACAGTTACTTCCATTAATTTAGCAGGGAATTGCAAAATGGTGGTGCCATTCCTCATTCTTTTCCCTAACTGTGATATTTCTGCAAATGGTGACTTCTTTCATCAGCTATATGGTGACATAAGGATCCAGTGCATACAGAAAATCAGTCTGCCTGGTTTGCCCCAGCACCACTGCCCACTAGCTGTGTGGCTACGAGCAAGCCATCTAATCTGTCTGAGCTCATTTTCCATTTATACGATGAGAACGGTCCTACCACCTAACACAGACGAGTTGTAACCTGGGGATAATGCATGTCAAGTTTCTGACACGTAAGCATTTCACGGATTAAGTGCTGTCCTTGTTTTCCCTGCTACGGTGAGGATTTCCCAACCAGCACCTGGTGAACACACCACAAGGATACTGAGCAGGGGCAGAGTTCTACCACTTGTCATTACTGCAGGAGTTGTCAAGGTCATCAGATCCTGGGCAGCCTTGGCTCCCCCAGGGAAGAGCACCAGCAGGCAGGAAGGATTCAAGGGCAATCTCCAAACATCTCTCCAGTCCAAAACACCCTCTCTCTGTAAACTCCTGTTAGGAGCCTGTTTACTCTTCTGGTTTGGGCTAGTGAGTCAATTAATTTCACTCTATTGTCAGAACAGTTGGTTGCTCATTTATGACAATAAGAATTTTACAAGGCTTTGTAAAAACCATTCAGGCATATTTAGGGCCTAAAGGCATCAAAATTGGCTCTCGGTTTGATTTCTGTATTTCTGTGCATATTAAATCTTTATATTGTCACTTACATCCTCTTAATGGTCTCCACTCAGTAGAGGATTCTTGAATCTTTGGCAGAAGTTGTAAAAATAAGAAGCCATTTGTAAGTCAGTCTAGATTTGTTGTAAATGTGAATCTTATTTTAGTGGCTTAACACCAGAAGCCGAGTTTCTGAGATTTCAGGAGTCTGTGCTCGCCAGCCTTTATTTAGAAGAGGGAGGGATAGCTAGCATGGGGTGTAGTGAGCCAGCACTCACAAGGAGCTCAGCTTGGAGCCTCTCTCCCCTTGAGGCCTAGGAAGAAACAGGTCTGTACTGGCTCCTTAGTCCTTGCTCAGGTCAAAAGCTCAGACTCCGGGTCAGGAGGAACCTTGTGGCTGCTCAGCCCTGAGAAAGCCGCTTCTCCTCTGTGAGCCTCAGTTTTCTTCTCCTGTAAAATGAGATAATAAAAGTTAATGAGGAAAAAATGAGATAATGTAGGTAAAGCACCGAGTACCACGTCTGGCAAATTTTAAGCACTCAATCATCCTTAGCTATTATCCTCATGTCCTTTCAGAATTCTTGTCCTGACTCGCCAGGTGTTATATCTCAATTTTTGTTTGAAACAATATTTACCTGAAATATTACTCAACAATAAAAAAAAAAGGAGCAAACTCTCAATATAAGAAACCCCTAGACGGATCTCAAGGGCCTAATGCTTTAGTGAAAAAGTCAAGCTCAAAGGGCCATATCATGTTTGAATTCATTTGCATAACATTCTTTTTTAAAATTATTTATTAGTTCGCATCAGTTATACATGACAGGAGAAAGCTCTTCGATTCATGGTACACAAATGGAGCAGAATTTTTCACTTCTCTGGCTGTGCGTGAAGTAGAGTCATACCATTCATGCAATCACACATGTATATATAACATTCTGGAAATGACAAAATTATAGATGGAGAATAGACTAGTTGCCAGGGTAACACTAGGAATGGAGGGGTAGCAGGAGGGAACCTCGTTGTTGATGAAATAACTGCACCTTGATTGCTGTGGTGGTCACATGACTGCACAGGATCATATGCACACATTGTACCATCAATTTCCTGATTGATATTGTATTATCTTTATGTAAGATACAACCACTGAGAAAGGGAACAGGAAAACTCTCTGTGTTCTCTTTGCAACTTCCTGTGAATCAATACTTCAAAATGAACAATAAAAAGATTTAGTGTTTACTTGTGCAATCAAAACACTGCTCACAGCTGAGCCACTTGGTGTACTATGTCAACATTTCCTTTCTTGTATAACATTTTCCCCTCTAGATGTAAAAATCGCTTTGTTTTATCTGCTTCAGTCTGCCATTTACCTGGTACTAATTCTTCCCAATGTCAGAGCTGTAAAGTTCCCATCTGGGCAGTTGACTCCATTAGGAAATCCATTGGTTTTATTTATTTTTAAAAAAGTATTTATTTATTTATGTATCTTTAGTTTTAGGTGGACACATTATTTTGTTTTTAATGTGGTGCTGAGGATCGAGCCCAGTGCCTCGTGCATGCTAGGAGAGCGCTCTACCACGGAGCCACAACCCCAGCCCCCATTGGTTCCATTTTTTAATAGTGACATCTCTCCTGGAACTCTACCCTCCAGTTATAATCTGCTCTCTGGGCTGATTCTCTACCCATTTACATCACAAAGTATCTGGTAGTTTATACGACAAAGTCTTAAATTATGTTTCTTACAGGGTGCTCCAATTTCAGTATATGTCATTTTTCTTTTTTGCGTATCTACTCTTCTGATTTTGCTGCAAGTGACTTGTATTGCTTGTGTTATAGCCTCATTGTGTCCCTCATCCTGGAAAGAGAGAGGAAGGCAGATAGTCCAGGAAAAACAAAATAAAAGGTCTTTCTGTCAGATGCTTGAACACGCATATGGAATTCTGGAGAATGTTCTGTCAGGCTTGTGTTCGTCTGACAAAGGCTCTGCAGGGTGCTACTTGGAAGCCATTTGCATCTTAATCTGAACTGACTCTCTCTCTCTCTCTCTCTCTCTCTCTCTCTCTCTCTCTCTCTCTCTACTGGGGATTGAACTCGGGGCACTTGACCTCTGAGCCACATCCCCAGCCCTTTTTGTATTTTATTTAGAGACAGGGTCTCACTGAATTGCTTCTAATGAGCTTCTAAGTCTTGCTAAGTTGCTGAGGCTGGTTTTGCACTTGCAATCCTCCTGCCTCAGCCTCCAGAGCCACTGGGACTGCAGGTGTGCACCTCTGCGCTGGCTCCTGGACCCTCCTGTTGTGTAGGAGGGCAGGGCTCTGGTCTTGGACTCTCTGTGGGTACCTCGATGTCCCACTCACACATAGCAGCACCCTCTCTTGACACTTTTGCCTCATTTTCCTCCTCTAAACCCCTTAGACAGTTTCCATCCCTGTGTCTCCCACCCGTCTCCAGCTCTGGCCCCAGTTATTGATCTATGTCAATATATGAACCCTGCAGCTGGCTTCAGGGTGGGATTGGCTGGAAGAGGGAGGCACAGAGGCCGAAGCAGAGGTCTGGCCCCAGAAAGGAGGGTTTAGACCATGAACAGACCTATCTCATTATGAGATTTAACCTCATCCTGATTCTCCCACAGTTCATTAGACCAATGAGTCTCTTACCTCCTTCCCAAACTTGGATTCTTTTACAAAAAGTGACCTTTTCTTAGGTACTAGGAAAAAAAGAGGGAAAAGAAAAATGGTTAAAAGGGAGTAAAGAGGAAATGGAAGGGAGGCGGCCACTCCCGTCCCCAGAAGGGGTGAGCTCCACAGAGCACTGGTTTGTCTCAAAACGAAGAACAAGGCTGTGTTCCCACTCTGGGACCCGGAGGGAGGTGGCACCCCCTGTTCCCCACAGCTCCACATGCTGGATGCTCTTGTGGGTGGATGTGGAATCTCAGAAGCACGTGTCTACACAATAAATCCTGAAGAGAAGAGCTTTAAATTCAGTGTATTAGGTGGAAAATAAGCTTCATTGCCTCAGGAATTCTGAGACGAAACACACCGAATGAACCATAGAGCAACCTCAGTGATCTTTCTGTTGCAGATTTTCTGTGAGCGGATTTGATGCCTTCCAGCAAAACGAAAACATGTTGAACAGCTCCCCCCCAATTCCCCTGGCTGGATTTATGTTCAAGACAAAGCTATTTGCAATATTTCAGGTAAATCATTCTCTATCTTCTCTAATCTTCCAAGGTTCTTAAGTATATTAAAACACTTTCCCAGAATTTTATAAGAAAAATGAGCTTCTAAATACAGCTCACCATATAATGGGATTTTTTTTCTTCTATGTCCATCCCATAGTTCCTTTTAACAAAATGTCATGGTTTAAGTGCAGAAGTCTCTGGGAATCCCTTGGCAAATTAAAGTGTTTTGAATTTGCTCATTTGATTTCAGAAATGGTCTGAGCAACCCATGTAGAAGACATAGCGAACCTTCCCTTAATATGTGTTGTATTTCCTTAAGTACATAAAAGACCTGGGAAATTCTTAATTTAATCAAGATTATTCACCTTGGCAAGACACCCCATGCAGATTAGCCAGCAGCAAGAGCAGAAAGCAAATCTCTGTGTTTGCAGAAGATGAGAAGAAACTGTGATTTTACTGTGGAGGCAGAATGAGGGCTGGGGACAACCCCACGATGTCATTATTAGAAGTAGAAAGAGAAGCCAGGCGTGGTGGTGCATGCCTATAATCCCAGGGGTCCGGAGACTGAGGCAGGAGGATTGCAAGTTCAAAGCCAGGCTCAGCAATTTAGCAAAGCCCTAAGCAACTCAGCAAGACCCTGCCTCTGAATGAAATATTTTTTTTTAAAAAAAAAGGGGTTGGGGATGAGACTCAGTGATTAAGCACCCCTGTTCAAACCTGGGTTCCAAAAAAAAGAGAGGAAAAAAAAGTAGAAAGAGAGGGCAAATTTTTTTGACCATAAATTGAAAGTTTGTAAAGAGTCCCTACATTAGGATCTTCTCTCTCTTTTTTCATTTATCCACTTGCAGAGACAAATCGTTAATGAAAATTTGTTCTGCTGAAACATTCAGAGGTTTTATTTAAAAGCCCAGGAAGTCAGAGCCTAATGGACAAATGTATGAATCATCAGGAAAAAAATAAACTATTTATTATTTCTTCAATTTTATTTTTGGGCTAAAAGTTGTTTCTTCAATGATTTAAACAATGTTGCTAAATTTAGAGACATCAGGCCCCCTTATGTTAGCCATATATTTAAAAATAATACAAAATTCATTTCCTCTGTTTTCCTCCTCAGCTTTCTTTCTCTCTCAGGAAAGTGTTAATCTCTGCTCCTTTTGCTGAATTTAACAAAATGGTGATCTCCAGGGTTTTTGGGGGTTTTTTTTGGGGGGGTCGGGAGAAGGGGTACCAGAGATTAAACTCGGGGGCACTCAGCCACTGAGCCACATCACCTGCCTATTTTGTATTTTATTTAGAGACACCAGCACTAGTACAGTTTTGCTTTACTATAAACATACTGCCTTTTATAATTTTTGAAATATTTTTCTGAGTAAAAGGAGTATGTGTGTTTTGGATAATTTGTAAACTAGAGAAAAGGAAAAGGGAAAAGTCCAATTTCATTGTTACCCTCCACTGTGCCCAGTAAAGTGGCCTATAGTGTGGGTACCACTTACGCTTCCAGAGAGGGGCCCTGCAGGCTCCTGCAGGGTGGGAAAGGGAGAAGGAATGGACCCACAGTTGCAAAAATACTGTCTTGGGGTCTAGATGCTTCTTACGGTTTCTCAAGCAACCCACCCTTTTCTAGCCTCGGCCATAGCATCCCACTTTCCTGAGATTTTCTGGGCTCCTGAGGAGCAAATTATTTTGCCAGTTAATTTCCCATCATTACCTGTCCCCTGAGCAGGTGTGTCAAATCTGTTAATGCTTATCTCTTTGCCTTCAAACCTCTAAAATTTTGTTGACAGCGAACTTGCTGATGTATCCTCTCATATTGTTTAACCCTTATCTCATTTTGCCGTTTTGATTCTGTCCATAGAATTTTGTAGGGTTTTCCAAATGGGTAGAGCTAGGTGCACTCCACTTGACCTCTTTAGGAGTGCCCATATGCTGCCTGAAATATTTAACAGTGTTTTTAACAACTGCATAATAATTCACATGTAAATGTGCCATGACTCGCTTAACCTCATCTTTTGTATGTTTTTACCTATTTTTTTTCTGTATGTTTTTACCTTATTTCCTTAAGTTAAAATACTAAATATGGGGATTTTGGACCTAAGCATATGTGCAATCTAAGGACCCGGCAGGTACTTGCACACATTGGACTGTCCACCTGTGTGCCCGCAGAGGGTGATAAGTGCCCACTTTGCCCTCCCCATGAGCCCCTATGTCAATTGTTGCTCCACTTCCTCTTGGACCATCTCTACTTGAACCGTGGACTTGATCTGTGAGACTTCTCTTCTCTTTGGCTGTTGTTCCTACACACAGATCTCCTGGGCCTTGGGGAGTCAGCTGTTTGCTCTGAGCTCACCTAAGTAGGATCAGAATGTACTCCGGAAACATCTTCCAGGGCTCCTTTCCAACGGTGCTTTGCATTTTGCATTTACCCTGAATTTCCTTTTGGCTTTTCCATGTAGAACCTTCCTTGGGATGCTGGCTCCTTGCTCTTTAGCCCTGTTACCTCTGCAGCTGATACTGTGATATTGTCTGTTTATCCACATGGTGATGGAATGAAGATTTATGCCTTCATCTTTATTATTTGTTTTTTGGTACAGGGGATGAAACCCAGGGGCACTTTACCATTGAGCTACATCCCCAGCTCTTTTTATATTTTATTTTGAGACAGAATCTTGCTAAGTTGGTGAGGCTGGCCTCTAACTTCTGATCCTCCTGCCTCAGCCTTCAGATTCACTGGGATTACAGGCATGTGCCACCCTGCCTTGATTGATTCTTAATCTTGTCATTCTGTAGACAATGGCATGACTAAGTCAGCTTGTGAATTTACTGATCTGCTCTCAGAAAGAAGAGAGCTTAACGAGTTCAAAAACTAGACAAGTGCTGTGTGATTTTTTGCAGGGTAAAGTGCTCCTGTTTTCCAAGCTGCTAAATTTTTCACCGTCTTAATTTATTGGCTTGGGTGTATGAGAGGTGGGGGAAGAGGTCCTTGGACAGTGCACAGTCCAGTGCACTGTCCAGCATGAATATCCCTGAGCACATTCTTGCACATTCCTGAACCCTGATTCAAAATCAGGGCCGGGGAGTCCTCCACAGAAGCCTGAGGCCCCTTTGTTCCTAATCCCATTTATTCTTTCAGTAAAGAAAGCATTGCTGATACAGTATCCCCTAATGCCTGAAGTCACAAAACACAGCACTAATTTTAGTTTTTAATGATAACATTACAAAAGCCAAAAGATGGGATTGGCAGCCTCCATGAAATTCACTCTATGCCTGTCTCTCGCTGTATCTTTTCATGTTTCTGTCATTTTATAGATTCTTTCCCTGCCTATTTCTGGATGTGTGTCAGCTTGCCCATTTCTATTGTTCACTGTCTGTATTTCTTTCATTCTCTTTCTCGATTCAGTGTCTCACTACTTTTTCTACCCTCCTTTCCCTCTCCAGTAACAAGACTATAATAGAGTAGAATTCTTCTGTTTACATTTTTGCTTTATATAGTGAATAGTTGTTCATTCCCAGTTCCATGCCTTCAATAGTTTTCTGTTACCAGTTTTAAAGAGAATTGAAGGGTTTTTTTTATTGACTTATTTATTCTTTGATATTGGGGATTGAACCCAGTACTTTCCCACTGGAGACATGTCCCCGTCTTTTTTTAGACAGGTGCTGGCTCAGTTGTTTAGAGCCTCACTAACTTGCTGAGGCTGGCCTTGAACTTGTGATCCTGCTGCCCCAACCTTCTGAGTAGTTGGGATTACATGCATGTGTCACCATGCCTGGCTATCTGAAAATTTTTAACATACCTTTCTCTTTAAAGGATGAATTACTTTGAATTATTTGTCTCCCGACTGAATTTTTGTCCCCCTGCAGGTCAGTATCACCTGGAGGCAAGATTTCTTGACGCAACTAAGTGCTGGAGTCCCGGAAGTCCAAGGAAAAAGCCCGCATCTGCTGAGGGCCTTCTTGCTGCATCATCCCATGGTGGAAGGAGGAAGGGCAAGAGAGTGCAAACTGAATGTTCTTAGAATATGCACAGATCTGGGTCATGGGCTTTCCTGAATCACCTAGCTTTGCTGTGGTGCCTCGATGAAGGTGGGGGTGGAGCATACTGGTGGAGGCCTTGGGCAGAGTTCCTGAAATGCTATGATACTCTGTTCATTTTTTCCACTTATTTCAATATGTCCATATACCCTTCTTCTTGGTCATTTAAAAAGTTTTATTATTAGCATAAAAATAAGGCAGGTTTCAAATATAGATAATAAAAATAACAGCTGACATGTATGTGTACCAGGCGCTCTGCCAGGAACCGGACGGTCATCACCTGCTTTGAGTTTTACTCCAATGTCACCTTCTCAAGTGAGCCCTTCCCTGGCCACCCTATCTAAAATGCCAACCTCCTTGCCCCTTCCCATTTCTTTTGCTTTATTTTTTTCTCCTTAGTGCTCATCCCTCTCTAACACACTCTATTTTTCATGATTTAGCTTCTTGGTCTCTTTCTCTCTAGAACACGTACTCCCTGAGGTCAAAGATTTTCATGTGTGTTGATCATCGCTGAATCCGTGGCTCCTAGCACAGGGTCTGGCATTCATTCATTGTTGAATGAAGAAGTGAAGTCTTTAATATTCGCCACAGCCCTGCCCGATATGATCTCCATCTTAAAGCTGAGGAAAGTGAGGCACGGAGCAGGTGGGTAATCTGCTAAACTCACCCCATGTGTAAGTGAAAAGGCTGGTATCTACTTCTCTAGCCTCTGCTCTTAGCAATCAACAATGCCCAGCTACCCACTACTCATTTTTTCTTTCTTTCTTTTTTAAATTTTTTTAAAGAACCATGAAATTCAAACCAAACAAAACCAAAATGTTTAAGAAAAAAAAAAAAAGTTAGAGAAATGGTTGAAGCTCCCTTTTTAGCCTTTCTCATTTCTGATCCCTGCCAGCTGTCCTCAGCAATCACCATCCTGAAGCTGGTGGTCCCCTCTCCACCTTCCGCTGTCTGTTTTACCGTTTGGAACTGTCTCCTGGCATCTTCTGAGCCCTGGTGGAAAGAGGCCCCAGAGGTAGACAGGAGCTACACAATGAAAGCTCCCAAATCCACCTTGCAATGGGAGTATTGACTGCTTTTGTTCCTTTCACGCTCTTATTTTTTTTCCCCCTTTTCTACTTACACTCATTTTTCTAGCTGAAAATAGAAAGCCTTATCAGATTGGAATAACAGTCCTTCTTGCTGTAGGTTTTTTTCCCCAAAGACTGGATGCATTTGGGCCTCATCAGAAAGCCATCTGCTCTGTGCGCAGGCCTATTCAGAGCCAGAAAAAGAAAACGAAGGAGGGGGAAGCCCTGGCTTACGCATTTTGAAGAGCTGAGGCTTGCCAACCCCACCACGTCCTCCACAGAAGCTGACCATGGGCAGTGGACTGACTGGGAAGGGAAGACGTGAGGACTTCTGCAGAGTGTGCGGTGACCTTGCACAACTCTATTGCCAGGAAAGGAAAGAGGCTGACTGAAGAGGAACGAAAGCTCCGAGTAGGTCCTCCAGGAACAAGATGAATGGTTCATGGCTTGCTGCCCTTCCATTGAGGCCACCCCTTCACTGTATTTCTTGTTCCTGTGTCACACCCCACCAGTCTTAGTCCAGGTCTCTCATGGAAAGATGCCACAAGGTTCTCAGAGGGCACCTCATTTAATGCGCGGGGTGCCCTTGCTGCTTGAGGGACCACCACCCAGGCTGTGGTGGACTAGCAGACCTTCCACTAAAGGTAGCCGCTCACCGCATCCGCCAATGTGCTCCACCCCCACCTTCATCAAGGCACCACAGCAAAGCTAGGTGACTCAGGAAAGCCCATCAGACCCAGATCCATGCGTATTCTAAGAACATTCAGTTTGCACTCTCTTGCCCTTCCTCCTTCTGCCATGGGATGATGCAGCAAGAAGGCCCCCAGCAGATGTGGGCTTTTTCCTTGGACTTCCCAGCAGTAAGGGAAATAAATGTGTTCTTTATAAATTAAAAAATATATATAAAATACTTAAAAAATCAATTTAAATTTTAATGCTTGCATTTTTATAAGTACAAAAGCCATATAGCCTGGTCGTAAAACATTTAAATAATACATATATACCTAAGAAAGTTAAAGACCTTCCTTTTCCTATCACAGATTATTGTTAAATTTTGTTATATATTCTTAAAGAATTTTTCACTATTTGTATACTTCTGATATCTATAGAACTGTATACCTGATAGCATCCGATAGTTTCCGTATCCCACCTCACCTCTAGTTATTTATTGACCATCTGTCTTTCCTACCAGACTAATGTCCACAGGACCTAGACCTGGATCTGAGCCCAGATGGGGAGCTCTGCCATGGAAGCACATCTCATTCTCCATAATTACCCGAAATCACGTCCATGTCCCCAACCAGAAGCCCAACTTGTACCCTCCCTCCCCCATGGAGCTTTTTCCATTTTACAGAGAGGGGAAAATGTAGCACTCAGTTTTGACATTTTTGAGAGGAAAGATTATCATTATTTCCAAAGATAAAACAACGTTCAGGGCCTGGCTTGTGAGGTTGCTTGCTGAGTAAATTATTCAAACATGGAGGTTGGTTCTGGTCGGCTGCTGTGCTACCAGAACTGTGGGCCTGGCTTAACTCTTGGCTGGCTCTGCACCCCGGTGCTCAGGGCTGTGCACCATTAGGCTCCAGGCGTTCTGGCTAGCTCAGGCCTCTGAGGTGTGGCCTGGAGGTGAGGCTCTTGATGCAGGCCCTGCTGGGAGTCTCTCCATGGCCAATTGCTACAGAGTGACATTCTGGTCCACATGCTCAAGGCTGGGCAAGGAGCCGTGGAATTGCCATCAGCTCAGAGATTCTCAGGCACGCAACCACTGGGACAGAACTGACCTCCCACATGACTCCTTTTTATGGTGTAATCCTTTTTTAAAATTTATTTCCACTCTGCCATAGACTTGGCTCATTCATTTTCAGAGGGTGCAGTTTTCTCCAGGGATGAAGTGTGCCGATTCTTCAATGTATTTTAGCTTACAAGACGTTTGTCTTCTCCCCTTCTGTTTTGATTTTGCTTTGAGCCAGTGGCAGATAGTAATTCTGATACAGAATAGCTAAAGGCAGTCCTTTCAACAGTCAGTGGTTTAATCATAGAAAAAGAAATATTCTTTCTCTTTTTCTATTCTTTTCCTTCTCTCTGGCTGCCTCCCTCCCTCCTCCCTCCCTCCTTATTTATCTTATTTCTCCTTTCTTTCCCCTCCCCCTCATCCTTCCTATATGCACTGTTTTATTTTTAAATATGGTTTTGTACTTTGTTCATAAAAGATGTTAATTCTACCTCTCATCCCCCCCCCCAATTAGTATACAAAACTGACTTACCAGATATTAAAATATCTGAAGGCCTATGCACAAGGCACTGGGTTCAATCCCCAACACCACAAAGAAAATAAGAAAAAAAAAAAAAACATAAAATATCTTTAAAAGTTCCAGGCACCAAAGTTATAAGGTGACTAAATTATGAACGAGACTGTAAAACTATTCCTATAGAGTTCCAAGAATATATGGGAATAAAATACATTATTAAAGAAACATTTCAAATCAATAGAAGAGAAAGGGGTTCTTCAAGAGATGGTGTTGAAAAATACTGTCTAGTCATTTGGAAAAAGTAAGCCTGAATTTAAACCTCATTTTTTAATATAAAAATAAAATCCAGAAATATTAACAAAAATTTACATAAAAATGAAACCATAAAGGTAGTAGAAAAATAAGTAAAATTCTTCATAATTTGGGGATGGAAAGACCTTTATAACATAAAGAAATTCAAGTAGAGGGGCTGGGGTGTAGTCTATTGGAGCATGCTTGATCAACATGGCTGAGGCCAAGGGTTCAATACCCATCACTGAAAAAAAAAAAATCAAGTAGAAAACAATGATAGATTCTGCTATATAAAAATGAGAGTTTCTCTCTCATCTGAAAGAAATGTACCATGTAAACTTTTGAATGAGAGCGGATAAGTTACAAATATAGGTATGTGTATCCTATATAAGATGAATAGCCTAAATATCTAAAAAGTTTTTACAAATTAAAAAAACTGTGGCTGTCCTTAGAAAATGGGATTTGGCACAATTTTATTTCTACTTTTATATTCTTTCAATTTTTTTTTACATTAAGTAGTTTTAATATGTTAAATCCATTGTCTATTAAAAATATTTTTAAATGTAGATGGGCATCTTTTTTTTAGTACTTAGATCTAAAGCCCAAAACAATTTTTCCACAATTGCCCAATGAGTCTGCTTTGTGATATTAATCATTATACATAGCCTTCAGTAAAATAACACTGAAAAAATAATATCCATGAGAAATAATGGAGGAAAAATTAGAAGACAAAAAGATTTTTAATATAGAGTGGCAGATTCCAAATGGAGTCCATTTGTTCTTTCAGAACCTGAGTTGAATCTAAATCTTCAGATTAAATTTGGCTTTTTTTTTTTTTTTTAAGGATAAGAGTCCATTTAACAAAAGTTCTTTCACCCGTCAAATAATGATTTTTGTGCCAAGGTCTTTTCTTCTTATTACAGGATTTTCTTTCTCTTTTTTTTCTGCCTTCTCTCTCTCCTTTTTTTCCCCTGACATCTAAGTTGTACCATTAAATAAAATGTATGATTTAAATTTCAATTTTACTGAAGCTGCAGGTAGAATTAAAGGGATCATACAGATGAGCGATTTCATTGAATGTCACTTCACATAAATTTACATAAAGCTTCAAAAAAAAAAAAAAACCTCTACACAGCCTCTAAAAAATTCTTCTGAAGGAGAAGGGAGAAAAAAATGCATACTTACGGAGTATATATGGTTTGTCAAGCACTGAACTGGAGTGCTTTGTTTATAGCATCTCATTTAACCCTTACGGCAAACAGGGGAAGTCAGCCTTTTATCTTGCTTGCTTTAAAGGGGAGGGGGCAGACCCTGAAAGAAGAGCTGATCTGCAGGAAATCCCACCCACCCAATTCCAGCACCCAGGCATAAACTTCCTCCACCCCCACAATCTCTCCCACATCCCTACCTTCCACTGTTAGATGAGAACTTACATGGTGAAGATTCCCAGTGTGGCCCTGGTAGTCCTTTGGTGGTGTCTCAAATTGCCAGACCACAGATGCTTCCTCTCAGCTGCTGGGAGATACCTGTATTGTCCTGGTCCTTGCTCAGCTGCACTGTTATTGCTATTGAAAATCCTTAACTTCTAGAAGCTGCTGCCTTTAGTGACCTGGTGTTTCATATTTTGGTTCTTTTCTTTTCCCATGCTCCTAGCTGATGCTTAGAGGGAGAGTCCGGTAGAGGGGTTCAAGCCCTAATCCCCTCTGCCCAAGTGACTTAACCTTTCTAAGTCCTTCTCCTTATCTGACATTCCTCACCTGCACCTGGCAGTGTTGCAGATTTAATGATCAAAGGTATGAAAGTGCTTAGCGCAGCACCTGGTAATGCCGAATTGCTTCCTAAATGGGCACATGGCTGCTCCCACCTGCTCCCGTGATTACGGCCCCTCAGCCTAGTCTGCCCTAGAACCTAAAATAACACTAGGCTCATGGAATCAATGTCGAATTAAATCTTTCCCTGCTGAAAATTGATCTGGACTACCAAGGGGAAATCAGACTTCTCCTCACACTGGAGATAAGGAAGAGCATGGCTGGAATGCAGGAGATCCCTTGGGCTGCCTCTTAGTATTAATTTTTCCCTGCTGACAATTCTGCCATAGACTTGTTCCAACAGAGTAACTGAGGGGCAGGCAGGTGAAGGAGCTTGGTCCTGGGGAGCTGTCAGCTGCTGCTGATAGGCTGCTTTTCCCTCTGCACTCCGGACCCCAGCATGTCTCCTTCCCGGGGAAAATGGAGCTACTGGGAGGCACCCTCTTCCTGAGGTCTTCCCTTCCTCCCTAACCCCTGCCTGCTTTTCTGACCTTCCTGAGCAATCACTGCTGAGTGGATGCATGCTAAGGGCTCACGTCCCCATGGCCAGTGGACAGACGATTTACTGCAAACTCAGTCCCCGTCTGTTAATGGCTAGGACTCAGAGACAGAGCAGGACTCAGAGCTCAGTGCTTCCTACCAAACCCAGCCTCACTTGGTCATGCCATTCCCTTAACACACCTGTGCTCCCTCCTTACACGCTCACGCTTGTTCCTTCTGTCGGGAATGCCTTTCTTGGTCTTTGTGCATGAGCATTCTTCACGCCTCCTCTGCAAAGTTTCTAGACACCCGCCACCATTATGATCTGCTCAGGCCTCTATATCAGCAGGAATGAGTCCTCCATGTGTTCATGAGACTCAATATGCTCGGATCAAAGTGGTTCCCTTTGTGCCTAAATGCATTTTACACATAATAAAAATATTATTCTGAGATGAAGTCCATACCTCCCCCTATTTCCAATGCCATCAGAAATTTAAAAAAACCCCAGATCCAAATTGTGCTGAATGATCCCAGAGGGCAGAGACCAGCCACAGTCCTCTTCTTGCCCCCATCTCTAACCCTGCCCAGCACACTCTGTTGAGGTGAAGGTGCCAGGGCAGGTGACAGTCCTCACAACCCACATGGCAGCGAGTCCCCAAGCAGCACGTGCTGCTCAGGAGGATGGCTTGTCCTGTACCAGGGCCCAGGGTCACTCTAATTTTACACGTGCTGCTCTGCTGGCAAGCCCTGGACTGGCCTTGGGCCTCGAACGCTACTGACCCAGCTGTGAGCACCTCGGGCTGGGATCCAGCCACAGCACGTCCGTGGCTTCTCAAGGTCATGAGGACGGCTCCATCTTGGGGCTCAGGATCACAAGAGCTCAATACAGTCTCAGCAGAATTTCCTTCTGGCTAATTTGTCTTTTTTAGTATCCAAGGAGGGAAATCAGGCTCATTGTTCCACCCTTAATAAAATAAAATGCAATCTGGAGAAACAGAGAAGGCTGGTGATGTCACTTGACTGTACACACCAGCTTTTCCCTAGACTAAGCTCATGGTTGCACATAAGCATACAAAAATAATGCGACTTTTATGGTCCTGGAAGTTCCTCATTACACATTGCACCTCTCCTTGAGGGTTCTCAGTAGTGGATGGTTCAGAGTCAGAATGCTCTATGAAAACCACAGGGATCAGACTAATGAAATGCAGAAAGACAGCCAAGAGGGAGGGAGGAGGGGGACAACCTTCTTTGAGCATCTACCGTGTCCCAGACTCTGCATTAGGCATGTTACAAACTTTTTCTCATTTACTGTCATTACAGCCCTCGGGGTTAGGTATGAATGATGGTCGCTTTACAAATGGGGATTATGGTTCAACGAAGGTAATAAACTGGCTCAAGTGCACACAGCTCATGAGAAGCAGGGCCAGGCTTGAATTCAGCTGTGTCCAACTACAAAGTCTTATGCTTCCCTATCCGTCAGGTGGCCTAGGTTGATGGCAGCTTGGAACTTGACCTTGGTTTCTAGAGTGACAAATGCTTGGCTCTTTTCACCTGGGTCTGGTCCCTGGTGCTGCCTGGCCTCACCACAATCACTGATATGTTCACTAATAAGTCAGTGAAATGTCCCACTGCTTTGCTGACGGCAAGGGAGCAAACAGCTGAAGGAGATGCCCCAAAGCTCCAGAGAGACCACAGGGCTCAACAGCTTCTCCAAGACTTGTGAAAGACAAGAAGGATTCAAGGGTTTCTAAAATCCCCAAATCCCTTCTTTACTTTTAATTATTATGATTTTATTTTATTTATTATTATTATTATTATTATTTTCAATGCAGAGGCTCAAACCCAGGGCCTCTCACATGTTAGGTATGTGCTTCTGAGTTACATTATTTAAAAAAGAAAAAAAATACTATCTCACTAAGTTGCTGAGGCTGGCCTTGAACTTGCGGCCTCCTGCCTCATCCTCCGGAGTCACTGGGATTACAGGTCTGCACCACCACACTGGGCCCCAAATCCCCCAATTCTTAATTGTCTTTGCTCCTTGATGCGGCTGCTCTGGTCCAGCCACCCTCTCCTCTGAACATCCTCAATGGTGCCAATAGATCTTACACCTGAGGAATAAACTTGTGACTATGGAACTCTCTGGGGGACTGGGCTAGGCAATCTGAGGGAAGTTAGGGAACAGGAGGGTTGGAACAACTTCCCTGTAAAGCCTCCAGGTTCCATTGGCAGGGGGTTGGGGGACAGTTGCCAACAGTGAAATTAAAAGGCAGCGTCCTGATGGGGATCCTGGGCCTGGTTCCCTAACCACCACGGCAGTCTTCCCTGGAGACTTTCCTGCATCCTTCCAAATTCCCTGCTGGGTCGCAGGGACCACTGCTGCCCCTGTTTCTGACCCCTGCCTGTCTGCTGTAGTGTAGCTCTAGCTGCACAAATATCTTAATACCAGGGTTCAAGGGGTGTCTGTGGGCTGGCGCAGGCCTGTGACTTGGTCCCAGGGAGGATCGGCTGAGTCAGTTGGGACCTCCAGGGTGAGACAGAGGCCAAAACTCTGTGCTGGCCCTCATTCCAATAGCGGCATGTGGTGACTTCACCATATGTCCACATATTTTTGGTATCTATAGGTGAGGTGCTGCAAATAATCAAAGCCCAAAATGTGGGAATGACTTTGGAAATGGGTCTTTGAGTGACGGGACAAAAACATTAAAAACAAAAAAAGAATATGGCATGTTCTGAAAACTGAAATTACCTAAGAATCACTAGAGCAGACGGTCCATTTTGGTAGAAGTAGCAGAAACTTTCTTCATTCGAACAGGATTTATTGCCAACTTGGTTCCTGATACTATGCTCCTAGCTGAGTCTGCAGCAACGAGCAGACACACAGCCTGGCGAGCTGGAAGGGAGCCCACCGGCAGCTGGGTGCATAAGCTCTCTCCCGGGCTTCCATCTGCAGTGCTTCACAGGGTCTTCTCCTTCTCTCACTCTCTACCTCCTCCTTCACTCCCGGGGCTCCCAAATCTGTGTTCCCAGAGCCTGAGATCTACTGGTGGCAGGATAAACTGAGTGCCACGAAGAGAAGGCTCTGAGACCACTGCTCGGTGAACTGCCAGGCGCTTGCGATGCTCACGGGGCTATGCAGGCCAAGCGCCAAAGAGGAGCGGTTTGGTTAATAGGAGTTTAGAAGAGAAAGAGGCAAGCCAAGATGGCTGGCAGGATAACAGACTCTTAGGTTTCCGCCAGGCTTAGGAGTGCATGCCCGTAATCTCAGTAACTTGGGAGGTTGAGGCAGGAGGATCACAGGTTCAAGACCAACTTGGGCAACTTAGCAAGACCCTGTCTCAAAATTAAAAAGAAAAAGGGCTGGGGATACAGTTCAGTGGTAGAGCACCCCTGGGTTCAATCCCCAGTATTTAAAAAAAAAAAAAAGACTTAATACTTCGGTTTCTTCTATCTGGTAGGCAATGTCATTATTCCCTAACTTCCCTTGAAATTTTTGGCATATTACCTACTATTATCTAT